AATCCCTAAGAACAGTCCTGACATGAACAGGAATTCGCAGCCCAGTCCAGACTCAGAACCTGGGTGTATGCCATCATCGCCCCTTATCACTGTGCCAGTATCCCGGGGTGACCTAAGCAGGACACCCCTGGCTTTATCCTTGCTTCATAATGGATGTGAATCTTATTACTGGTTTCTCCATGGATGTCACCGGAGACTTCAATCTCTCTGATGGTAATAGTTTCACCTTGGTTCCTGTGTCTCCCAGGAAGGTAGATCCCAACCCAACACAACTACCTGGGCTTTCCCACACTCCCTTCTGCACGACAGATTGTGATGTTTAGTCGGTGCTCAAACGTCAAAAGCCCTCTCTCTAGATCTCAGAATTAAGTGAGAGGTGGATTTAAAAATTAAAGAGTCAGAGGTCAGTTGTCCAAGGGAAATTGTGTAAGAGTCTCCCAGATAGTGAAGAGTATTACAGGAACAAACATGGTCCAAGTGATTTACACTCTGAGGTTAATTATTAGTCAGTTTTGCTTACTATAACAAAATGCCTGAGGTAAAGTGGTAAGGCTAAAACAGGAAAGGTTTCTTTTACTCATTGTTTGGGGAACTGTAGTCCTAGTCGTTCAGCTTGTTGCTTTGGGGTCTGAGGCAGGAGGACACTGTGGAGCGAGCTGCTCACTGATCTCACTCTGATCTAGCTTCCTTCTGTGGCTCTCTGACCACCTCACTCCGAATCTCCAGGCTGACATCTTCATGTCTGCCCCATCTAGCTGCCATCGGACCTTGTGAGTAGCCATACTCAGTCTTTCCCACACACAAGTGTCCACACAGACATCTTTAGGGGACACTGATAATGCCGTGTATCATGAAGTAAGAAGTAAGAGTATTTCCTGTTCACATTCTGCCCAGCCTGAGACCTTGAGCCCTGAATTCCCAGCTATTGAACATGGAAAGGTTCACTCTCCTGGCAATTTGAGATCAGCATGTTTTATTGACCAGCAGTAAAATTGGTGACCACACTTTGGTATACTGGGGGTTGGTGTAAAGTAATCACGCCTTGTTAGAACCTCCAAGTCTAGGGTTATGTTTGCATAAGAGCTTCCTGGGCATGAAGCTCCTGCCTCCACCTCACCTCAACTTTATCTCACTTGGGCAGCCGCCCTAGCGCCTCAGTCTGGTGCCTGAAGTGGACTGGTGTTCTGACAGTGATAGTGACCTGGCTGGCCTGGCAGGGCCTGTTCCTGGCTCTCCCAGCCTCAGGGTTTCCCCTTCAGTCTCTGACCATGTGATTGATTGTAGCACTAGATATCAAAGGGGTTTTCCCACTTCTCTTCAGGCTTCAGGCCACCTTGCCTTGAAGCTGTTGGTGTCTGTTACATGCTTTACCCAGAGATCTTGATGGCTCTAGCCCCAGGGAGCTCTGACTGCTTCCTTGTTTGCACAGTCAAGCCTATGGAAGCTTCCAGAATAGGTACTGACTGGTCTGATATGTTAACCAATTAGCTGTTGAAAACCAGATTCTCCTCCTCACAGTTGTCAGTTGGCTTCTGAGGGACCATAGCCTCAGTGGCAAATGACATGAACCCTGTGGCTATTTTGTGACCATTTGTAGAGGACGTCCGTCCTCTCCATGGCTTGAAAAGGAATCCTGAAACTCTGGCCCATTTTTCTGGAGATTTATATAGTATTCTCATTAATTATCTGTAAAGTGGCCTTTTCTCTGTCACTTCAGACATTCTCAGAAACAAGGAAAGTGGAGAAAAGGTATGATTTTCACATCTCTGTGTCACAAGGGTCAGCTAGATCATACTAAAGAGTAACCAACACCTGCTCACATTTTATCTTAATCTGACATGATCCAAGACTTATGAATTCTTGGTTCATGAGGTCTCCAGAATCCATACCTTTAGTCCCCCACTGCCCTTCCAATGCCCTGGCAACAATTACCTGCACCTGTCCTACAATGTGATAGAGCAGGATACAAAGGGTACCAGCCCTAGAGTTAGAGACCCTGAGTGGCCCTAGCTGGTTGATCCCATCATGGCCCAGGGGCCCTGAATGCAGAGTAAAGGTGTGACCTGGAGGTTCAGAGGTCCCAACTCTATACTCTGGGAGCCTGAAGAATCTCTGGGAAGAAACCAGGCCCAGCCCCTGGTATGGGCTAGTTAATGGCGTAGTCAGGCAATGTAGTCCCAATGAGTAACCTGATGACCTAACAGTCCTCTCTTTCCTTGGCATCCTATCTCTCCCCAGCCCAAGACTCACACCAGACCCCACCCACCTGTGCTACCTGTCCCTGGATAGCCTTGTGGAAGGAAACTGAAGTACCAGACAATGTGTCCTCCTCTGCCAACTGCCCCCCCCACTTCCAGGCATGCTGCGAGGTCTCCATTCACTGGAAGAAGCAATGCTTATCACCAGCTTGAGTTTATAGGTCCTTGTGCCAAAGGATAGAGAGACAGAAATAAGTCAATCCTTTACCACCGTGTAGCACCGAGAAGCCTGTCCACACCTTACTGGAACACACAATGAACAAGGCTGGAAGTTCTCCCGTGTACTGCATACAGCATACTCTCCTCTGAAGTTAGAAGCCACCAGGATGGGGCCCAACCTTAGCCAGACCCCCTACTCCCCCTCCAGCACCACAGTGAAGTTCAGGCAGAGATAGAAAAGCCAGGGCTGCTGTCCCCATGTTCCAGGACTCTACAACCCCATGTTCCTTGCTGCAGACACCTTGGTGTCCTGTGGACCATCAGGAAACCCTAGGCTTCGGTACCCACTCCTCACAAGAGCCACAGGGAACATTACTGAGGCAGGAACAAGCCTGGCACTGCCACCAAATTGTGTGACTCTTAGAACAAACTCCTGTGGTCCCCTCATCTCTAGAACTCTGCTACTTAAGCTAGAGATGTAAGTCCTGAATAAATACTTCTTCCTGAGTTGTGGTCTTCTATTGGCAAATACCTGCATTTGCTAGAAGGATGTTGTTGAAGACAGAGATGACCTACATCATTTTCTGCCCCTGACTAAAGTGTCACATGAAAAGTCTCTTTCCTAGAAGCCCTTGGGTTCTTGCAAAGAACTTAGCTCTCTCTTCATCTATGATTTCCTTTCCATACTAGATCACATTTCCCTTTTCTCCATGCCTGCCAGGAAACATGTATGATGCATAGATGAACTATATAATTTCTGTAAGCTCTTATGACTGGCTCAGAAAAACTCTTTTTACCCTACCACAACCCTAACTGTATTTTCTTTGTTCCAATGTGTTATTTGTGATTATTATTTAATTATAGATTATTATAATTACCTTAAGCTCTTTGCAAAATAAAGATGTTGAAAACACAAAAGGAGAAAACTTACAAGATGTAATGTTTAGCTAAAAGGTAAAGGCCTCCCACAGCTGAAAGCAGGCTCTGACTCCTGGCTTTTGACAGGTGGTTGAGCCTTGTGGAATTGTTCAACCTCTGTGAATGTATAGTGTGTGAGTTCTTCAGGTCTCTACCAGGGGATGGAGGGAACCTGGGTCAGGATGCCAGGGGCAGGGTACACTTAGCGATGACAGAAGCACAGAAATCCTCACAGGAGGATGGGATGGACAACCTAGGAGGAAGGTACCAGGGATAAACTGCCTTGGAGGCCTTGGTCAGGTGCTAACATTGTCTCTTAGAATCTGAGGCCTTGATGGGTACAGAAGAATTCCCTGCATGCTGGAAGCTGAGGCAGAAGGATTGTAAATTCAAGGCCAGCCTGGGCTACATAGCAAGGTCCTGTTTCTAAAAAACAAACCAAAGGGCAGGTTGTGACTCAGTGGTCCATGGTTCTCGCCTAGTATGTGCCAAGCCCTAGACTTGGTCCCCAGCACCACCAAAAGCAAAAAGCAAACAAGAGTCCAGGGCTTTGGTGAGCAACCTTCCCTGGCTGGACCACAGCTTTCTCATCCTGAAAGATAGGATAGTGTGTAAGATGATGTCACAGTAACCTCTATCTCTGAAATTTGATTTCATCTCATTCCTGGATGGAAAGACTCTGAGAATACTTCTGAACCAGGAAAGCTGAACTATCCAACATCCAGCTAGCTTCGAGAGCTCACACACCTGGGAAGCCCACCCAGACCAGCAGGCCATTTGCCCACAACTTGACAAGGACCTCCATTCTGATTTATACCTAGGGCTTCCTTGGATAGAAAAGGGCTGTATGCAAAGTGCTTGGCAGTGGTGGCACACTCCTTTAATCCCAGCACTTCGGAGGCAGAGGTAGGCAGGTCTCTGAGTTTGAGACCAGCCTGGTCTACAGAGTGAGTTCTGGGACAGCCAGGGGTACACAGAGAAACCCTGTCTTGGAAAACAAGCAAAAGGCTGCAAAGCTGGAGGAACCTTCTAGAAGATTCTCCATTTCCTGGGGAGTGTTTGGATCAATCTGGTGGTCACAGCCAGATTGAGTTGCACCCTGGGCTATGTCCCATCCTTTGCTGCTTTGCCCAAAAACACAAGATAGGGAGTGAGTGATATTTCCCAAGGACATGCAGATCTTGGGTCATAGAGACTAATGGTTAACAATCATTCCTTGGAAAGCTCATCCCAGCATCCCAGGTTCCTCCTCTGCCCCGCCCCTCCAGCACCATCTCTCCCACACATACACACACACCCCCAGCTGCATCCTTGTCCATTTCTTCGTGGTATTCTGCCCCAGGCCACAGGAGCAGTCCGAGCAGGACCTGCTGTTACCCTTATTTGAGATTGACAGCAGAGGCTTGGCAACCCCAGGATCACTGAGACTGGGTCACAGGGCAGGGGTGGGGGTTCAGGCCTCTAGTCCCCAGTAACCCCACAAGACCAGCGTCAGAGGCAGTGATGCCGTCTAAACACAGAGAGGGGGGGCTACTGCATCCTGCTTGAACATCTCTGGCTAATCTTTAGGGAGTTTTAGCCAGCTTTAACCCTGCGCTTATTTGCCCAGTTTGTGGACCGCCTCGGTAAATCTCTTTCCTTTGTTTTGTGTATTTTTTCCCATAGAAGACCGTGATTTCTCCTCCAAAGCTGTTAATCTCCAACACAGAGCTCAAGGGGAGAAGAGGCCAGAGCGGAACTGCCCTAGCATCCAGTGTGGCATCTCTCGAGCCAGGACCAGAGATGACAGGACACATGTCTCCAACCTTCAGCTGTTCACATAGCACACAGGGGACTCGTGGGGGCCACTTGTCACTGCCAGTCAAACCTATTCAATGGCAATACTGACATCTTTCATGCTGTTTTCAGGACAGATGCTCAGGCAGAAAATACCGGTGTGCTTCCTGTCTGCAGAGTAGGGGACCATGTCACACCAATATGAACAGTGTGAACCCCAGGACCTGCTCTGAGTCCACTTGCAGCCACTGACACTCGGAGAAAAAACAAAGTCCAACCCCCAGAGCCATTGTGGGGTTGGCTTCCACGGTTCTTGACCAATGTGGCCAACGCTAGACACCTCGGGACATTTGGATTATTCATAAATGCGACCCACCACCCCAGATCCCCTGAGTAGTATCTGAAGTCTTGTGAAGGTCATGGATCCTGAACAAAGTATCAAGGGCACCAAGAAGGCTGATGGAAGTCCCCGGAAGCGGCTGACCAAGGGAGAGGCCATTCAGACTAGTGTTTCTTCCAGCGCCCCGTATCCAGGCAGCAGTGCCACTGTTCCCTCAGATAGTACCACCCAGGAGCTGTTAACCCCTCAGCCTTTTTCAGGCCCCTCGGTGGTTCTCAGAGAAGGCTCTCAGGAGAAAACGGGCCAGCAGCAGAAGCCTCCCCGGAGGCCCTCCATCGAGGCCTCAGTTCACATCTCACAGCTTCCGCAGCACCCTCTGACACCAGCATTCATGTCCCCTGGCAAACCAGAGCATCTCCTAGAGGGGTCCACATGGCAGCTGGTGGACCCCATGAGACCCGGACCCTCAGGCTCCTTTGTGGCCCCTGGGCTGCATCCGCAGGGCCAGCTCCTCCCATCCCATGCTTCCATCCTTCCTCCCGAGGACCTGCCTGGCATCCCTAAGGTCTTTGTGCCCCGTCCCTCGCAGGTCTCCCTGAAGCCCGCAGAAGAGGCACACAAGAAAGAGAGGAAACCGCAGAAGCCGGGGAAGTATATCTGCCAGTACTGCAGCCGGCCCTGCGCCAAGCCCAGTGTGCTTCAGAAGCACATTCGCTCACACACAGGTGAGAGACCCTACCCCTGTGGCCCCTGCGGCTTCTCCTTCAAAACCAAGAGTAACCTCTACAAGCACAGGAAGTCCCATGCCCACCGCATCAAAGCCGGCCTGGCTTCCGGCTCCAGCAGCGAGATGTATCCCCCTGGGTTGGAGATGGAGAGGATCCCTGGGGAAGAGTTTGAGGAGCCCACCGAGGGAGAAAGCACAGACTCTGAGGAGGAAACTGGTACCACATCAGGTCCGCCCACAGAGGTTCTCCCCAAATCTAAGCATCCGCTGCTCTCAGGTGGCTTATACAGCTCTGGGAGCCAGAGTTCCAGCCAGGAACGCTGCTCATTGTCCCAGTCGAGCACTGCACCGTCGCTCGAGGACCCCAGCCCATTTGCAGAAGCCTCATCGGAGCATTCCCTGACCCATAAACCAGAAGACACACACACGATCAAACAGAAACTGGCACTCCGCCTGAGCGAGAGGAAGAAGCTGATCGAGGAGCAGACGTTCTTGAGCCCAGGGAGCAAAGGCAGCACGGAGTCTGGGTATTTCTCACGTTCTGAGAGCGCTGAGCAGCAGGTCAGCCCCCCCAACACCAATGCTAAGTCCTACGCAGAGATCATCTTCGGCAAGTGTGGGCGGATTGGGCAGCGGACCTCCATGCTGGCATCCACCTCCAGCCAGCCCCTACTGCCCCTGTCTGCTGAAGACAAGCCCAGCTTGGTGCCTTTGTCTGTACCGAGGACACAGGTGATTGAACACATCACCAAACTCATCACCATCAATGAGGCTGTGGTGGACACCAGTGAGATTGACAGTGTGAAACCTAGGAGGAGTTCTCTGACCAGGCGCAGTAGCATGGAGTCCCCGAAATCCAGCCTCCACCGGGAGTCACTATCGTCCCATGGGGAGAAGACCAAGCCGGAACAATCTCTACTGAGCCTCCAGCACCCGCCCAGCTCCACGCACCCTGTGCCTCTCCTGAGAAGCCACTCAATGCCTTCTGCTGCCTGCACCATCAGCACGCCCCACCACACCTTCCGTGGGAGCTACTCCTTCGATGACCACATTGCTGACCCCGAAGTCCCCAGCCGCAGCACTCCCATGTTTACCTCCCACCCACGGATGCTGAAACGCCAGCCAGCCATTGAACTACCTTTGGGAGGTGAGTACAGTTCCGAGGAGCCTGGACCAAGCAGCAAAGACCCCACCTCCAAGCCCCCTGATGAACCAGAAACCAAGGAAAGCGACCTTACCAAAAAGACCAAGAAGGGGTTGAAAACAAAAGGCGTGAGCTATGAATGTAATATCTGTGGTGCTCGGTACAAGAAGAGAGATAATTATGAAGCTCATAAGAAGTACTACTGCTCTGAGCTCCAAGTCACAAAAGCCCACTCTGCAGGTGCTCATGATGTGGAAAAGACACAGGCTGAGCCTGAGCCTTGGTCCCAGATGATGCATTATAAACTGGGGGCCACTTTGGAACTCACTCCACTGAGAAAAAGACGGAAGGAAAAGAGTCTTGGGGATGAGGAGGAGCCACCTACATTCAGCAGCCCTGGCCCATCAGACCCAGCTTGCAGCAGCCTTCCCCTGGAGTCCACCAAGTCACCAGCAGAACCAAGCAAATCAGTTTCCTCCGTAGAGGGTCCCCCAAGCTTCCAGCCAAGGACTCCCAAGCCAGGGACTGGATCAGAACCAGGGAAGGAGAGGAGAACGATGTCCAAAGAGATTTCCGTCATTCAGCACACCAGCTCCTTTGAGAAGTCCGACCCACTAGAGCAGCCGAGCAGCCTGGAAGAAGACAAGTCCCTGGCGCAGTTCTCATCCCCACCACCTGCCCCGCATGGACGCTCAGCTCACTCCCTGCAGCCGAGGTTGGTCCGCCAACCCAACATTCAAGTTCCAGAGATCCTGGTGACAGAAGAGCCAGACAGGCCAGACACAGAGCCTGAGCCACCGCCAAAGGAGCCTGAGAAGACAGAGGAATTCCAGTGGCCCCAGCGCAGCCAGACACTGGCACAGCTCCCAGCGGAGAAACTGCCGCCCAAGAAGAAGAGACTCCGCTTAGCTGAGATGGCTCAGTCCTCAGGGGAGTCCAGCTTTGAGTCCTCCGTGCCTCTGTCTCGAAGCCCAAGCCAGGAGAGCAACATCTCTCTGAGTGGTTCCAGCCGGTCGGCTTCATTTGACAGGGAGGATCATGGAAAAGCTGACAACCCTGGGCCCTCATCAGACACACGCTCCAAACCCTTGGGCACCCACATGCTGACTGTCCCCAGCCACCACCCGCATGCCCGAGAGATGCGGAGGTCAGCCTCCGAGCAGAGCCCCAATGTGCCCCATTCCTCACACATGACTGAGACCCGAAGCAAATCCTTTGACTATGGCAGCTTGTCCCCAACAGGACCATCTGTAGCAGTGCCTGCAGCTCCGCCACCTCCAGCTGCTCCGCCAGAAAGAAGAAAATGCTTTCTGGTGAGACAGGCTTCCCTCAGCAGACCTCCAGAAGCAGAGCTAGAGGCCACCCCCAAGGGAAAACAAGAGAGCAGTGAGGAGCCCTCAGCCAGCAAGCCTTCCACCAAAAGCTCTGTGCCCCAGATCTCCATGGCTACCACGCAAGGCGGGCCACCGGGAGTGCAGGACAGGCCCCCACTGGGGTCCAGCCCACCCTACACAGAAGCCCTGCAAGTGTTCCGTCCTCCTGGCACCCAGTTGCCCCCACCGGTCTCCCTCTTCTCCTTGCAGCACCTCTTGCCTCAGGAGCAAGAACAGTCCTCTGAATTCTTCCCCACTCAAGCAATGGCCAACCTCCTCTCCTCGCCATACTCTATGGCCCCGCTACCACCTTCCTTATTCCAAGCCCCACCACTTCCTCTGCAACCTGCTGTACTACACCCCAGCCAGCTCCATCTCCCCCAGCTCCTGCCTCACCCTGTAGATGTCCCCTTCCGGCAGCCCCCTTCCTTCCTCCCCATGCCGTGCCCTGCCTCCTCAACCCTCTCTGGATATTTTCTGCCTCTGCAGTCTCAGTTTGCATTGCAGCTCCCTGGTGAAATAGAAAGCCACTTGCCCCCAGTTAAAACTACCCTGGCCTCTCTGGCAACAGGATCTTCTGGCCCCTCCAGCAGCGCAGAATACAGCAGTGACATCCAGCTGCCCCTTGTGACTCCCCCAGTCACCTCCCCAGCTCCCACATCAGCCCCAACATTGGCCCTGCCTGCCTGTCCTGATGCTATGGTGTCACTGGTCGTTCCCGTCCGCATCCAGACCCACATGCCATCCTATGGGAGTGCCATGTACACCACCTTGTCTCAGATCTTGGTCACTCAGTCTCAAGGCAGCTCAGCAAGTATGGCTCTTACCAAGTATGAGGAACCCTCCTCCAAAGGGATGACTGTGTGTGGGGCTGATGTGTATGAAGCTGGGCCTGGCCCATCTAGTATAAGCAAGGAGCAAAGCAGAGGTTTCCAGACTCCATATCTGAGAGTGCCTGAAAGGAAAGGCACTTCGATGTCCTCCGAGGGTATTCTGAGCCTGGAGGCGTGCTCATCTACAGCTGGTGGAAGCAAGCGTGTCCTCTCTCCAGCTGGCAGTCTTGAACTTACCATGGAAACCCAGCAGCAGAAAAGGGTAAAGGAGGAGGAGGCTTCCAAGGCAGATGAAAAACTGGAGATGGTGAGCACCTGCAGTGTGGTGCTGACCCGTACAGAGGACAGGCAGAGGACAGAGAAGCCCTATGTGCGTGGCCAAAGCCAGAGCAGGAGGGAGGCAGAAACACTGTCCAGCTTGTCTTCAGATCCATCCAACCCAAAAGGACTTTCTCCCCTCTCTCATCCCACATTGCCCCATGGGACAGCCCCCGGCTCAGAAGCTTTGAAGGAATATGCTCAACCATCTAGCAAAGCTCACCGAAGAGGACTGCCTCCACTGAGTATAAAGAAAGAAGATCCAAAGGAACAGCCTGTCCTTCCTCCACTAGCACCCCCTAGCTCTCTGCCTCTGCCAGACTCTTCCCCCAAACCAGCCAAATTCCAAGAAGGTACAGACTCTAAGAAGGTACTGCAGTTCCCCAGCCTCCACACGACCACTAATGTCAGTTGGTGCTATTTAAACTACATTAAGCCAAATCACATCCAGCATGCAGATAGGAGGTCCTCTGTTTACGCTGGTTGGTGCATAAGTTTGTACAACCCCAACCTTCCAGGGGTTTCCACTAAAGCTGCTTTGTCCCTTCTGAGATCTAAGCAGAAAGTGAGCAAAGAGACATACACCATGGCCACAGCTCCACATCCTGAGGCAGGAAGGCTGGTACCATCCAGCTCCCGAAAGCCCCGCATGACAGAGGTAAGTTCAGCCTTGTTCTAATCATCAAATGCCAAAGTTTGTGCTGAGCTTTTAAAGCCACACTGTCTTAGTGCTAAATTTGTAGAATTAAAACCAACTGGTAGGGGTAGTGCAGATTTTTCTCTCTGGGAGTTACAACCTTATAAGGAAACATGTTCATTGGGTTTCTGTGTTCGTAACATAATTGGAATAATGTTATCATCAACGTCTCCCTACTTTCCCACAAGCTTCTACTGAAAAATAGAAAGTTTAGTCTCAACAAGGTAAAGAGCAATTTTCCAAAGGACATAGTTGGGAGATTTTATTGGTAAGATGCCTTTGGCAATTTTTTATTGCAATTTTATTGCAGCCCTTTCCCATGGGGTTCTCCCTTGCCCTCTTTCTGCTTTTCCTATTTTATCTGTACCTGCTGTTTTTGTCCTCTACTACCCCTTAAAATCATCCCATTTCCACATTTGACACAAAATACTTCTGAAATAGTCCCTTTCCTGTAAGATGGCACATAGACCTGGACTACAGTGAGCCCCTCTCCACCTGTAAAAGGTAGTGACACTCACAGTTTGAGCCATCTATGCTGCAGAGTAACAGTAGGCTTTCAGTGCAGGTCATATTTATTCTTTCCTTGCCTCTGACCTACACTACTTCAGGTGCTATGCAATAAGGTTTTCCAACTAATTTAACAAATTTGAAATTCAACAATTTCAATTTGCATAACAACACAACACTTTATACAAATAAGGCTAGGTCATGACCTGTGCTGGCCTAGTGTGACAAAATACCCTGACACAAGCGGCTTAAGGGAGAAAAGATCCATTTTGGTTTATAGTTTCAGAATGATACAATTCATCGTGGCAGGAAAGGCAATGGATGCTGGCTGGTTACATTGCCTCCACATTCAGGAAGCAGAGAATAAGCAAGAAGTAGAGCCAGGATATAAATTCCTCAAGGTCCTCCCCACATCCTCCAGTGACGGTCTACCTCCTAAAGGTTGAACAACCTTCCCAAACAACATTGATAGCTGATATGGGGGCCTTTCACATTTAAACCAGACCTGAAGTTTGTGGAGTGACAGGTGGTCTTGTCTGGTGCCAAGTCCTATGCTGGAGAGACCCAGTCACTGCTCACCTCCCCTTGTAAAGCAGTGTCACCTCCATTATACAGATGAGGGAACCTGGGGCTGAAAGTGGTCAAGGACCTGGGACAAACATTTGGCAAATTCAGAGTTTGAACTCAAAGCTATCTGGCTGCAAAAAGTGTCTATTTCATTTTTTAGTTACTGGCAGAATGAAACTTTTGAAAGATAGCTGCAAATTTAATGATGTACGATGTTCACAAATAACCATTCCAATGAGGTGCTTTGACCAAATGCCACAGAGATACTGGAACCCGACTCTTATTGTAGACCTGGGAGCAGACCTGGGTCTGCAGCTTCCTGGATGCTCATACTTTCTGCTTTCATCATGAGAGTGAGAGTTACATCAGAGGTGCCCTGAGCTCATCTGGATATTCTTCACAAACTGTCTTCAAATTTATTCTCTGATGTCTTTGTCAGTTCACAGACATCTCCGGACATGATTTCCTCTTTTGCTGTAACTACCATAAACTGTGGCTGTTGCCAGGATGCTATCGTAATGATATTCATAATCATAATGATATTTCGGATTGCCTGCTGTATGCCAGAGACTGTGCTAACCCTTACTTTTGTTCTCATAGCACCCTGGAAAACTAGGGTACAGTAGGTAAAGAGATCAAAGTTCAGAGAGGCTAAGTAACCTGCATGGGGCCACACAGTGAATGGCAAAGATCAGATTCAGAGCCAGAGTTCACTCCTAAACCCTTTTAAACATGTCTGAGCTGTTCCCCTTCCTCCGTGAGAGGTGTCAGAGGCATAGAAGACAAAGGGAGTGTTAGGTTTTTGTCTCTGAATTTGACAGTCATTTCTTCATCCTGCTGCTTCCTAAAATGAGCTAAACCTTTCGACCTTTCCTTGGAATTACCAGTTTTGTTCAAAGTTTTCCTGTCCAAAGTCCACAAATATCACACATTAACGTAACTGTGTGATCTGCAAACTGGGGCGTTTCTACAACCCCCCCCACGCCTTCACTTGCATGTCTCCAGTGATGGGAGGATCACTCTCACCCCAGCCCTGCTCAACCTGTGCCTGGCTATAGTTCATGTTCCTCTGCACACGCAGATGATGGCTGCCACCGTGTAGCTGCTGTCTTCCCCTAGCCATGCTGAAAATGTCATTTATCTAAGCATTGGGAAACCTGGTTTAGCTGTAATCTGCTTGGCACTAGAACTCACTTCTCCTCGTTCCCAGCCAGGTGTCCTTTTTGCTGGGTGCCAGCACCTTACATAAAAATGTACCTTCCTCCTGCCTCAGCTTTAGAGAATATATCCTCAAGACACTGAAAAATGCTGAGAAGTCCAATGGCAGCCCTTCCACAGAGTCAGGTCTCCCTGAGGCCCACTGCTCTACAGATGATGGACACTCTGATCCCTCGGCCTGGTTCTGGGTCCTTAGGGTCTGTGGTCCCTGGTCTTTGGTGCTGGCCCAGGTGAAGCAGTGCAGGGAGCTGGAGACCTGTGCATTGCTTCGGCCACGCCCTTAACCCAGCCAGCTGCTTTGGCTTTCGGGGCAGACAGTGAGAACGCCACAGATAATCTGTGAGGCAGAGCCACGCCTTCTCTTATTTCTCAGCATTCTTTGTCTTTTTCGTCCTATTTTGAGTACCGAGGTGACCAAGGTGAATTAGACATATCTCCAAAGGTCCCAAGGCCAGCACAGAGCACAAAGATCCACCCGTGCCTCTCAAGGAGAAAAGGATCATGAGAGGGGGGTCAAAATACAGCTTGGAGGGGAGTTTGTCCCTGTGGCCAGAATCTGTGGAGGGGAACTGGGTGAACTAGGTGGGAGCAGAAGACCATGCGGGCAGGTGTGTCTCTGAACCTGACCCAGCACGCAAGGCTAACCAATCTTGGGTTTGCCCTCCCCTTCAGGTGCACCTCCCGTCGCTGCTTTCCCCGGAGAGCCAGAAAGACCCAGCTAGAGTGGAGAAGGAAGAAAAGCAAGGGCAGGCAGAGGAGGGGACTCCCACTTCCAAGAGAGGGGAGCCAGCGAGGGTCAAGATCTTCGAAGGAGGGTAAGGTTCATGCCTTGTTTGCAGTCGGCTTCTGGTGTGGAGACCCCCACCATCTATAGACAGAGGTGGCTGGCAGCTCCTGGATGTGTGGTGCCCACAGGTGCCTGCAATTCCCACAGTGCCTCTCTGCATTGTGGGACTCCCCGACCATTTGTTTTGCAAATGCCACCGGGGGTCCTTGGTGGGGATCTGAAGGAGCCAAGATCTTTCTCCAGCCCTGTGTCCGCAGATCCTCCCCAGATTCTCAGTCCAGCATTGAGGTGACACAGAGTTCCCAGCCACAGTCTGGACTACTGTTTCCTTCAGGGTGTGTTGCCTCTGTCCTGCCAAGGCCACCCTGGCCACATCCCATTTCTCATGGTGCTGAAGAGTCATTGCACACACCCTTCATGCCACTCACCGCCCTGCCCGTTGGCAGGCCCAGGACTCGTTGTTTGTGCTGAGTCTCATCCTTGGCCATTTTCCTGTGGCGTTCATCTTTGGGAAACTGCTAAGCCTCAGGCACCAGAGCTTGCCAGTCTGGGACACATCCCTACGGTACCCCACTCTCACTCGTCCCAGGCTCTAGAAGGGCACCTGGTCTTTGTGGCACTTGTGTTCTGTGGGGCTGCGTGTCTGTGAGCAAGTACCATGGTGTCTGTCTTGGGGTCCTGTGTCTGTGTCCCTGTTGTAATCATGGTGGTACCAATTCTATACAGTCCTGATGACAGCAATCTCCAGGAGACTCCAACAGCATAGGCCATCACCGGGGACTCTTGTTCTCCAGCACCTGCAAGTGACTGTTTCACGGGGTCACAGTGACAGGTGTGGAGGGCTCTGGGGAAGTGGAATGGAGAACTAAACTGCTACGCTTCCCAGTTTGGCACTTTGTAGTGGCTAGAGGGGCTCCCAGGAGCAGGAAGTGGTTTTGACAAGGACAGGGTCAGGAGATGGTGAACATCCCGGAAGCACACCCACAATACCAAAGGTGGCTCATTGAACACTAGCAGGGCCAGCGGTGCTTCAGAGCTCTCACCCTCTTTCCACTTGGGAACCAAGGCTTTCTGTGCCTGCCGTTGGGTTAGAGCGCCCTCGTGTGGCTACGTGCTCTCATGCCACCAGGTCCCAAGCTCCAGGCTGGGTAGCTGTGCCCTCTTCCCTCGTGTTCTGAGATCTGAGGGGCTATGTGGTATTTGGTGGTGTCAAGAATCCTTTCCCTTTATGGGCCCCTCGCCTGTGTCTAGATCTTGGTCTCCGTCTGAGGCACCTCACTCCGCTCTTGGCTCCTCCAGCTAGTCACATGGTATAAACAATCAGATCCTTTCCACCCTCAGCTCAGCTGCCCACCCCATCCCCTACCTCCTACCCTAGCTCTGTTGTGCCTCCTATCCCTGCTTCTGGTGAACCCTCTTCTTTCACGGGGTAGGTGTTACCCACTAGGAGTATTTGCTAATGTGGAAACGAGACATATCTGAGGACACCTCCAGCATCTCATGGATGGGACCAGGACTGACCAAGTCTCGCCTGTCACCAGGGGTGACCTATTGCAGGATGATGAATACATTCTTAATGCCCATCACCTGTTCTCATTAAAGGCTTTTTCTTAACCTCACTGCTTTCTTCTTTTTCTTTTCCAAACCCTTACAACACCTGTTTCACTGCAATACGTACTGGAGAAGGGTCTGCAATGAGACCTGCTCACTGAGTCCAGCAGAGGTCCAGAGAGGAAGGAGGACAGAACAGTGCACTAATGTACCACTAATGCATCCTCCTGGGACCTGTGCTCTCATCCACGGACTATGGAGAGTTGTGTAGTCTCAGACCTTGGGAGTTGGGGGGGACAATCTCAGTCATATCTGTGCCTGGGAGAACTAAAACAGCCAGTCAATAAATAGTACTGGTGAAACTCTGGCCCGTTTTCCCTGCACCTGCCACTGGTTAGTTTTCTCTGTGCTATCCATGCAGGTGCAAACTGATCTGTTCACAGGATGAGATAATAAGCCAAGTGCTGAAAGACGGGTCCTGTATGTGTCCGACTTCCTCAAGTCTTTGGATCGCAAGCCACATTCCCCTCACCCTTTTTCTTGACCCTCAGTCTGGCAGTTGATCAATCAGCCAGTTCACTGTGGAGGATAGACTTAATCTGTGCCTTGTGGATGCTTTGGGCTAGAAGTTATAGTGACCCAATTTGTATCAAACTGTCATCCAGTTCCTACGGTACCTGTGGACCAAGCCAAGGCAGCAATACAAAGCCTGTTTCTGAGGTGGGGACCTGTAGGGCCATACTGTTCACAGCGTTCACTGAAGGCTTCCCAGAACTGTAGGGTCAGGCTGGGTGGTGTGGACAGGGTGATGTCACAGGAGGTAGCTTGTATACAAGATAGGGTAGTCAGAGCTCTCCAGGTGACCACGATTGTCTCCCTTGTTGACGTCAGTCAACTCTGGCTTCAACCCCCCCCCATCACTGTTGCTGCAGCATCTAGGACCACAGCAGGGTCCTCACTCCTGAGCTCCTGAGCTTTGCTTTGGATACCTCTGGCATTTTCCCCTATGAGACCTAACAGCTCCTCAAACTCAGCACAGCCAAGCAAATCTCATGCTTCCCACTCAATAGTGTCTTGATTACTTTTATATTGCTGTAAATAGACCATGACCAAGGCAATGTATAAAATAAAGCATTGAATTAGAGACTTGTTTAGAGCGTTGGAGGGTGAGCCCATGGCCATCATGGCAGCAGTCAGGAAGCATGTATCTGAGAGCTTATATCTTATCTATAGCAACGGGCAGAGAGGGAGAGGCACACACATTGGGGTTGGGTCTTTAAAACCACAAAGACCATCCCCAATGGCACACCGCCTCCAAAAAGACCACATCTCCTAATCCTTCCTAAACAGTCCCCAACTGGGGACCACACACTCAAATGTGGGGGTCATTCTTATTCAAACTACCTCACATAGTGTCTTCTCCAACCTGCAGACTTCAGATAACGAAATCATCACACACAAGCCTCAATGTCACCTCAGACACCTTCTCCCTGGATTGCAGCCAGTTCCCAACCTCTGGTGTCCACGTGACGTAGTCAGTGGCTCAGACTGGCTTCTCTCTTTCTGTTTCTGCCCTCCAACCTCCTGTGTCAGTGCCTCTGAGCATCTGCCTATGTAGCCTTCTGTGGCTGTCGCCTCCAGCATCCAGTGTAAACTCAGCCTGGTAGTCTGACATGCCATATCTATGCCACCTTCTGCTGCCTGTGGACCCTGTCCTTTGCCAATGCCATCTGGCCTTCAAAATGAGCACTAGCTCTGTTTGGTGAACCCCGAGGTCCCTGCCCTTGCACACTATTGATAACTTCTGCGATGCCACACCAAGTCTCTTGACTTGGTCCTAGACAATGCTTTGCGTGTAGTGTTCACCCCTATGGCTGCCTTGACTTCGCAGCCTCTGGTCCCCTCTCAGTGTTCCCAGCCACACTTCAGCACCTGAACAAAGCCTGCCTTTTCTGGGCAGTGTCTGGGAGTACCCGTGAGCATTGCACTGGATTATACCCAGCACCTTGCATTTGCCTTAATGTTGTGGAATGGCTCTCTGTGTGAAGTAGTGTTTGCACACACAGAGTTGCATTGTTCCCTGAGTGTAATGACTACATTGTTCTAACTCGAGTGTCTTTGCTGCAAGGGAAGCTGGGAACCCAGCCCTGTGGCTGGCATAGAAGAAGCTCCCATGGATAGGAAGTACCTGGATGACAGCAGACCAGCTCTGTTAGGGGAGACCCTCAGAGTTGCCATTAGCAGGGAACAGCCAGCCTCAGCTTGGAATTGGCACACAGAGAAGAGAAACCCCAGCCTCTCTGTGAGCTGAGCTCCCTACTCCCTAAGGGTAGAGTAGAGAGGCTCTCAGGCCCTCCCCCTCACCAACAGGCCTGTGTCAGAAGAACCCGGATGCTATGCTGAGGAAAGAACCTGTTGTTCCCAGGGAGAGCTCCCTCCCCCACCCCTCTCAACCAGCCAGGAACTCACGTCATTCAAATAAGCACACCCAAGTCTGTTTCCACTTCAGAATCGTTCCTTGGATGGCTAGGTTTTGCTAGTTGTTTAAAAAAAATAAATGAAAATAAACCCCCCAGAGCAGGACTGGAGAGATGGCTCAGCAGTTAAGAGCACTTGATGCTGGGTTTAGTTTCCACGTGGTGGCTAACAATGGCCTGTAAATTCCAGGGGAGCCAATGCCTGTCTTCTGGCCTCTTCGGGCACCAGGCATGCACATGGTGCACGTATATGCACATATATACACACACAAAATCAAAATAAGTAAGTAAGTAAATCGGGGCTGAAAGACAGCTCAGCAGTTTAGGGCACCTGCTGCTTTTCCAGAGGACCTGGGCTTGGTTTCCAGCACCCACATGGTGACTCACAGTCATCTAACATCAAAACCTTTGGCTCCAGGGTATCTGATGCCCTATTCAGGCCCCTATGGGTACCAGGCATGTGGAGGATGCATGTACATACATGCAGGCAAAACACTCATACATATAAAATAAAATCTAAAACACAAAACCTCCCCCAGAGCAGTTGATTCTGGCTCCCTTCCACTCCTTCCATTCCTACCCAGCCCCATTTAGGGGAGCCTGAGGCCTCTCCTACCTTGACAGCTGCTTTGTCAAGGTCAATGTGACCTGCACATGGCAGAGGTCAAGGATCACTCACTTCCAGTCTATTCTGACCTTCAGCAGTAGGAACAGCCGACCCCTCCCTCATCCTCACTGAGGGCTGGGGAGTGAGGTGTCTGAACCATGCTAGCTTTGTCCTGTTTTTCTGGATGTCCTCACATCTGATCATCCCATCTCTCCTGGGGAATGTGACATGGGTTTTGGAGTAAACTGGTGATTGTCAAGGCAGTGAAGACTGTGGGATAGTGAGAATCCAAAGGAATATTTAATGTTAGGTCAGTGTTACCACTAGATCTGGTAAGATGTTAGGTCTTCCCGAGGCCGGTTGTGAGAGCAATGACAAGGACAGTGGGGTGGG